GAAGATCCCGACGAAGATGATGACTATGACGAAACTCTGGACCCTCCGCCCAATGTTATTGACGACGAAGACGATGGTGATGGATCCACTTCGTCCTCCAGCTTCGGCGCCGATCCAATCCCCCACTCCTCTGTCCATCCACCGGCACCACTGTCCTACTCAAAGCCCACCATCACGGTAGCCGGCGTCCCTAGCGGTTCCTTCCGCCCCGATCTGATTCGACAGCGGACGGCGGACAGTGTAACAGCCGCCGCCGCCACTACTACGATCTTCGAGGATAAGAAACCGTCTGCCGCCGTTTTGGATGAGTCGCGGAAGCTCTTTCAACGGCTGTGGACCGACGAGGACGAAATTGAGTTGCTGAAGGGGTTCCTCGAGTATACCGCGCATCGCGCGGCCACCAGCTCGTCGTCGCACCATGATACGGCGGCGTTCTATGACCAGATCAAGAGCAAGTTGCAGCTCGATTTCAACAAGAGCCAGCTCGTGGAGAAGCTCCGGCGCTTGAAGAAGAAGTACCGGACCGTGGCGAGCAAGATGGAGACCGGCGGAAAAGAGTACGTATTCAAGAGCACTCACGATCAGGTTACTTTCGAGATCTCGCGAAAGATCTGGAGCAATAACTTTGGTTCCACCGTCCGTGGTGGGGGAGTCATCGCCGCCTCCGTGGAGGACGGCGGATCTGAAGATTTAGAGTCAAACCCTAACCACACCCTCCCTAATTTCGCAGAACAACAAATTGCAATTGGAACAGACTCAAAATCACCCAATACATCAAGGAAACGATCCAGAGGACCATCCACAACCCCCAAAGTAGAAGAAAAACAAAAGCCATTGCTCTACCAGCCATCATCTGGTATTACTACTAGTTTAGCAACGCCAACCACAGCCATCCCAAACGCCAATGCTTCCAGCACGGCGGCCACGCCGCTATTCAAGGCAGTGACACTGACGCCGGTAGCCGCCACCACACCAAAAATCACAGGCACTTCCATACCGGGCCTGATTGAGGAAACAGTGAAGAGCTGCCTTTCTCCAACAATGATTGGATGGAGAGGGGGAGGGATGTCCACTGTGATGAGCCAGCTGATGCTGCCATTAGGGTTAGGGAGTGACCCATTGAGCCCAGAAATGAGGATGATGAGTGACAACAAGTGGAGGAGGCAACATATGTTAGAATTGGAAGTATACTCAAGAAGATTAGAGTTGGTGCAGGATGAGATCAAGGAACAACTGGAGCAGCTGAGATCCATGGGAGGAGGAGGAAGTTGATGATATCCAAAAAAATTCCTACACTTGACATGCGGGCCCATGGAATTCATATTAGATCTATCACATCTTTTATTTTTAGGAGTGGGGTCAATAATTTTTCTCTTCTCTTTATAGTTTTCATTAAACAAACCAAACTATTGTACTCTTGTAGTACATTTCTCCATTATATTGTTGATGCAAATAGCAGGGTGAAAGATAGAATATTGAATATAAAAACACATTCTTTTCTGCTGATGTATTTTTAGTTCTAATTCATACTATAAAACTGCATCAGGAGTTGTTTTCTTTAAATCCTGCTGGGAATATTATTGCCTTCATGTGATCATTCTCAGGTCATCTGGTTTGCAGCAAGGGCACTATCAATTATGCAATACCCAGTTGAGGAGAAGTTAACAGTTTCACACCACCACAAATCCACAATTAGTCAGACACATTAAGGGTCTGTTTAAAAAAGTGCTTTTTTTAATGACATGAGGAAAAGTGTTGAAATAAAAGTTGATAGTGTTTGAGAAAAAAGAGATTTTGAAAAGTAAAAGTTGGTAGTGTTTGGTAAAATAAGTGCTTTTTATGTAATAGAAAAAGTAAAAGCACTTTTGACACGAAAGCCGAGAAAAATAAAAGTTGTAGTGTTTGGTAAAAGAAGTGCTTTTTTAAAGCCAAAAGCCGAGAAGTGCTTTTTTTAAAGCGTTTGCAAACTAGCCCTAAAAACCGGCTGATTCGGTCCTCTTCTGGTTGGAACTGGCATCGTTTCCACCCCTATGGATGGAGGAGATCTACGGCGAATGCAATTTTACCGGGATCTTTTCAACCCCTATTGATGGAGGAGATCTATGGCAAATGCAAAGATTACCGGGATCTTTTCCACCCCTATCGATGGAGATCTACAGCAAATACAATTTGGTTCATCTAATCAGGCAATCAAGACGAACCATAATCTAACAGTGAGTAGCAAGAAGGAATCTAACACAACTAAGCTTATAGGGAGTAACATTTAAATGACACAAATATATATCTAACAAAACTAGGAGTGAAACCAAAGTACCTTAAATAAACTTCAAGATTTTTTAGAAAAGCTTTACTAAATCACATGTTCCTCTACTTAGCAACAATGCTATTGTACTTGCAGACATTGTTGTTCTTCCTCTTCTAGAAGTAATACCTATGGCCTCTAATGCTATTGTACTTGCAGACATTGTTGTTCTTCCTCTTCTAGAAGTAATACCTATGGTGTCTGAGTTAACTTTTGCATAGCCTCTTCTAACTTTTTCAACTTTTACACCAAACACATAACCATTGACTTTGCGTGCTGAATTGTGAAATAATTAAAATAAGTAAAATTTAAATTACTCTTCTATTTGAATTGGCTGAAGTGCCTAGATTTATTTATTAATGTAATTTACTCAATCCAGTCACTTTAGTTAAAACTTCATCAATTTAAATAGAATCAATCAATTCAACCAATTTAAGTGTTATTAAACAGACCCTTAGTACATTTTACATTTTTTACAAATTATTATCTCTCTTACTTTTTCATTAATTTCTTCTCCACACATTTAATATTTCTCTGAATAGAGTCTCTATTCTACTTTTGGTTTCTCCTCCACCCATTTTTATATAATTAACATAATTATTTATTTATGTTAGTAAATTTTCTATCCTATCTTACTTTTTCATTGAATACAAACTAACAAACCCCTACTATACTAAAAAAATATACAAGGAAATATGAGAAAATTATCAAGAATATTACTAAAACACAACATGTTTTCCAAACTATGAGTGAGTCAGTTTTTCTCCCTAGGATATCATCCGTATGTGGTGCATGTATGTGAGATTTATTAGTGGAAGAGGTTATTTAACCATACGGCCATGTATATGAGGTCATATGATTGGAACAAAAACAGTTTTGAGTCATATTTTAGGAAAAGTCACATGTTTTAGTAATATTGAGGTTTCCCCCCAAGAAATATTGATTACTGTTCTAATCCATAGATTTCTTCACAGAATTTTGTAATCCTTTGTGTTTTAGGGCATCCTCATCCATAGGATTATTTAGGGATTATTTTGATGATGTGGATGATATTTTTTGGGATCATGGATGAGGAGTTGAGATTATTTTATGAGATTATTTGATAAAATAATCCGGTATCAAATTCTAAAGCTGGATTATTTTGAGATGGGAAAAGGTGCAAATAGGCCCATGTACTAACCAAAAAAGGTCAAATAAGCCCTTATTTAGGAGACTTTGTCTGGTCGTCGCCATTTGGAGTGGTTCCCGGTGAAATTTTTTGATGAAATTTTTTGAGCATCTTATTCATTAAGTCTAGTTTACTCATACCAAATTTCAGCTAAAACTTCAATCGGGATGACATTCAAATGAATTCTTGAAGATAACTGCGCTTGTTATTGCGCAGTTATTTTCAAGAATTCATTTGAATGCCTTCCCGATTGAAGTTTTAGCTGAAATTTGGTATGAGCAAACTAGACTCGATGAATAAGAAGATGCTCAAAAATTTGGTATGGCGACACAAAGTCTCCTAAATAAGAGCTTATTTGACCTTTTTGGTTAGTACATGGGGCCTATTTACACCTTTTTCCTTTTGAGATTATTTCCAACTTGTAGACTCTTCTCCCAATTTTCTAGGCATACTCATAATTGCAAAACCATATTCCAATCAAATACTAGTACGTATAATGTTTTAAGGAATTATGCATGTAACTTGTTATCTTGAAACTAGTGCATGTCTCATAAAATATCTTAGTAAATTAAGATCATAGTTGAAGAGAATTTTTTTGGTTTGAAAATTATTTGAGATTTTTTATGTGAAAGTGACTAAGCCATAAAAACCCGTAAAATTGAGGAGCATCAATGTGTTGATGCTCTTAGGATCTGTGCATTAGTCTAATCATATTTGTAATCCGAAACCACTCAAATACCCTGCAAATCGTGCGGTCGTGCCAACTAACACACTAGTCTTTTTAATCATTTATGTGGGATTAGACGATTAGTACACCTTTAATTCTTGAGGATTTGTGGGCGTGTGGCTTTTCTTTAATCCGCACTAAAATCCATGATTATATGTGGGATTAGTACGCCTTTAATCCATCACCGTATGTGGGCGAGTCTGGATTATCCATCTCTCCCAATCCGTATTCCATTTGTTTTTGTGCATGTCCATATGTTTTTAATCATATTAATTTATTATAATCATAGTAATTTTGATTAATTATTGAAAATAATATGACATTACTTCATGTTATGAAATTAATTAATCATTATAACCATTGACATTATTTTATAAAATTTTGTATTGTAAAAAGTAATTTCAACTTGACAACATGATAATTATGGAATCTAAATATAAAGATTAATATTTTAATATATTCAAGAGAAAATATGGCAGGGTCTGTAAAACAAAGATAGAAATGAATTAGACGTTCACCTTTGTTAAGAACCGATCCTCAAAAGTTACGTGCATCCCAATGGATGAAAATACAAATTATTTGTACACCCCTTCTATTTTTGAGAAATGCTCACAAACAAATTTCATTTTTTTTTTGCTAAGAATTGCGCACCTTTGTATACCCACAAAACTAGGGGGTGTACAAGTGGTGTACACCAAAAGTTGTACCTCTAGTTTTTTTCATTAGTGAAAGTGATCAACACATATTTAGCACAAGTACTGATATTCAAGAACAAAAGGAGCAGGGCAATAACAAAATAAAGTGGAGCATATTGTAACTTTAGAGCATTTATTATTAAGAAGTTGAATACGTAGTATTACATACATAAGTGAAAGCCTTGCCAAATTCCAATGATAACCCAGATTTGTTACCTCCAAATTGCTCTGAAATAGTCCATTACATGTATTATTTATTATTATATACGTGAATGAAAAAGCGCCTATTTCTATCTATCTATATGTATGTACCAGGCACTTAAATTTAAGTGAAAGTCCTAAAAATCTAAAATGACATACTCTAACACCTTTCAAGTCTCAATGAAAGACATGCGGGGAAGTATAAAATTCACGGTCAATAAACACTGGTCTCAAGTCTTCTTCACGCATGAACTCTAATGGAAAACAAACAAGATGTCCTTTGATTGGGTTTAGCCTCTCGATTGGTTCCGCTAAGTCGACTTCCTCATTAACAAAAACATCAAGTTTCCCGGGAGCAACTCCTAAATCGACAGTGTTGTGCTTGAGTTTCTCTTTACATTGTCTCAGGCCATACCTGTAATTTTATGGAAATGTTTGGAATTTAGATTCAAATGAGAATACTTGGGCAGTTGGGCTATAGTTGGGATGAAGAAAATAGCAGGGAAAACAAAAATTGCAACATTATTTTATTTATTTATTTATTTATTATGAAGGAAGACTTTTAGTATATATTTATGTGTGTGTTAATTTATTAATGTTTATACGGAGTATAATATAACTATTTCCATCATTTCCAATGGAGCCAAAGACTCACTATGTGTAGCTTGAGAATATGATGGAATAAAGCAAAATAGCTCACTAAACTGTCAGCGCTTCTTTGTTATGCAGCAACAGCCAGTTCATGTAATTTTCATCACGGTTCATCTAGAAAAAGTCTCTTTGTGCTTTGTATAGGGGTAAAGCTGCATATATTCAACCCCCTTACCCCACTGTACGCGTGCGCCTTTGTGGCATTAGGGTAATAATGTTGTTGCTCTTCAATAATATAAATAGATAAAGAGGCCGTTTGGTAACCTCATTTTTCGGCTTATCAGGCTTATCAGCCAGCTTTTTCACCAAACACGTAATTTTTACTTTCGCACGCTGAGTTGTGTAATAAGCAGAAAAAGTAAGGTTGGAGTTACTTTTCTGGCTGTATTGGCTGAAGTTACTGTAGATGACCATTTTAGCTATTTTTACATATAATTTTTTCTTTACTTTATTAATAAAATATATTTTAAAAATAATTTTTACTTAAATCAGCAGAAACAGCCAAAGCAGCCACTTCAGCCAGAACTTCATAAATTTCAGCAGAATCAGTCAAAACAACCGATTTTTGTGCTACCAAACGGGCTCAAAATAAAATGAGTGTGAACAAACATCCAAGACTGATTAACCTAGTTTGAAACGTTTTTTATTTTTTCCCATTTTATATTCCCTCCCAAATTTCCACTCTATTATGCTCCCTACTCCCTAGTATGAAGTATCTTTCCCTAGCAATTTTCCGGGTTGCAAACGAAGCCTTAAAATCCAAATAAAAAGGGAAGAAGTTAAAAGAGCTAAATACCTTGAGTATATGAGGTCGTTTGGGATGCAAGAGAAGACATCTTGGTAGCGTGCGGCATTTAACTGTGAACAGAAAAGTCACTCAGAACTCAGAAGGTTATTAACTTTGACTACCAGTTATATGGTGAAGTGCTTACGACCACTGACAAATATCATCAATGTTCAAATGAGTTTGAGAGATGACGATAAAATAAAATGATTTTACCAGATGCATTAGTTGGTTAAAGAGTGTATCATAGTTAATACTGCGTAATATAATAATGTGTGTCAGGAGAGGTGTGTAGAATGTAGACAGAAAGAAAATGTCTCGATGGATAAAATGGAACTTCCAATATAGGTCAGATTGGGGCTAATAACTCTTAGGGGCCTATTTGGAACAAAATAGGGTGAAAAATTGGAAGGAAAGAAATCTTGGAAAAATAAAACACAAGTTAATACTCAAGAAGTTTATTTTATAAAGATGCTCATTTATATATCAATGTCTATTATCGAAAGACTAAGAAATCAAAATATATGTAACACTTCAGAAAAGCCGAGTATATTTTGTTTTCCTTTTTTTTCAAGGGAAAAATCAAATGTAAGAAATAATTTTCTGTAGGATTTTTGTTGAATTCACCTAGCATACCATTATGATTAGAGTTCAATTTTGTAAAAAGATCCTCTACCTTGGCAATTGCAACCCACAAATCTTTGTATGTAGAGTCTGCTATAGGGTCCTTTATTTGGAAAATCTGGAACATGATACATACATAGATCATAATCTGCAGAACCTTTAACCTGAAATGGGTCTGTGTGTGTGAATTGTACAAGCTGCTAAAAAATAGATGCTCCAGTGGGTCTCCATATTGCTCAAGTGGCAAATTAAAATATCACTAACCTCTCCAGAATGTAGACCCAAATGTTCTGCCCATAATGATACCCGAAGGCTAAATGCAAACTTTCCAGCCTTCCAAGGCTTTCCATCCATTGATGAATCGATAAAATATTTATCTTCAATGACTACAGCGATCTGAGAGCATTAACTTTTTTATGTCACACAAAAACACAATCTTATTATCAGAAACAATACATAGGACATCAACAAATCTACACCGGTCTACTAGTAACATCAACAAAGTACCCCATGATCAAGGGAGGAACTAATTACCTCAGAATCTCTGGATCCTAACAAGCTTCTGTCATTAATATTGGATGATCCAATCAGCGCTACACGGTCATCTACTATCATGATTTTGCTATGGACATAAATCTGCAGTATAAATTGTCAAGAATTTGAAAGCAGGCCATGGAATCTAAAAGAAAGCATGATTCAAAATTGTTTTAAATTCCTGGACCAGATTATCCGGTTGCGGATTGTTCTACGCATGTAAATCTAAACTTCAACACAGATATATCAGGTAAATATCTTGCTCTTACAAGGAGAACTGTCCGTAAGGGGATCATGTGGAGCAGGATACAAAAATCTATTGTCTCGCAGTCTCGCAGAAGACATTGTGAATGCAAGAGAACAAGCATGCTGACAAACGCAAACTAGAAATGTCATGCATGAAATCAAGTACAAAAGGAACCTAGATGCTAAGAGAGAAAAATGCTTAAATTGTAATATCCACCTAAAAATAAAAATAAAAGAATTTCTGGTAGCTAGAAAATGATATGGAGTGAGTGTTTTTTTAGTTATTTTATTGGATTGACATGATCAATTGACTTTAGCACAAGATCTTGTCAATAGACTTTTCATATGGACAAACTGGACACATTTCTATTTGCATTGTAAGGGATTATTTAAGATTAATGCATTAATTCATTTATGATCCATAAACAATTATCAAATTATTCAAGCCATTCATGATCAACTTGAGAAAAACCATCAAATCAATCTGCTGACTTTTTAAGGAAGAAAATCCAATGCATCCATTTTTATTTTTATTTTAAAAACTGAATAACTTTTATGAGAAAAATACCCAGCACGTCACTGTGCCCCTGTTGCCGCCGGCCACCATGTGATGGTCAGATAAAAGCAATCTAAGCCAATGGCTGCCCACACGGGAAGGCTTTAGGGCTATAGGCAGCCTTGGCTTGGAGAGTCCAAACCAAATCCAGTGAAAGAGATAAGAAAGCTTTCAATATAAGGGAGTTGTCATAGTGAGTAAGATGTGCTTAGATTGCTTCTTTGAAATAGGGGTGGGGAGGCCCTCACGGCTTTAGCAAGCCCCACTTTCCCTGATAGGTACACAGAAATTTGACGGTAAATTGAAGTAGAATTAAGATGAAATTGATGAACCAAAAAGAGAACGATACAAGGGAGACACTTCGAGTAGTCTCCATCACTCCCAAACCAAGTCCCAAACTAATTTCTGCCTGCCTCTATTCCTCCCTCCTTCCCCCTTTTATATAATTCCTATTCTTAAAGGCCGGCCCATACTTCCTGAATATCATGGCCCAGAACCTTCAATTATACAATAACACCCTATTTAATACTCCCTCCATCCCGAATTATGAAATATTTTTCGGTTTACGATGTTTGACCGACGATAAAGCAAACAGATCCCTGTCTGCACTCAAATTATTTTTAGAAAAAGAAAATTACATATTCAGAAACTACATTAAAACCGCTACAAAATCTGCAAAAGAAAAATTCAAATTTTATAAAATTTTGATATATAAAGTAAGAGATTAATTGTGATCTGTGTTGACCAAGTGAATAGTAAAGATATCTTATAAAATGGGACAGAGGGAGTACTACATAATAGTATAATACTCTATTATTCTTATTATTATACTAATCTGCCCAGATCCTATCATTCCTTTACTGAAAGTCACATGGATGGGGTGGGGGGTACCACCAAACTATAATATTTTGGGGGACCAACATTGGACTACAGGAAGTTGTTTATTGCGCTCATACGAGGAGGATACCATCACGGCTACCTCACTAATGATGGTGCTGCCAGTTGGTGGCAAGGGGTTGTTGGTGATATTGCGACTGAGGTGGCTGTTGGCTCTTTCTCGCTAAATCAGCATAAACTGCAACTAAATCCAACAATAACAAGTGCACAGCATCCAGTACACTGTTGATATGGTGGGGGGATCAAGCTTGGAGGTATAGTATAGTTTTCCCAATAATATATCTAATGGTTATCTATTGGGGTGTATTACTTCTTTGTTAAATATAATCCAATGGACTTTGAAAAATGGAAACCAAATTATGAACTATCCTTAAGCTAAAAATAGGCGGATAAAACCATTCTATGACAATCTATGTTAATATATTTGTTAATGGATGGAGTTGTTGTAGTTGGATGAATGGTGGATAATGGATTCTGGTCACTTGGCAGGGTGTTTTATAAGAGAGTACCTGGCTTGTGACTAATGGACATCTATCAGAAAGTTGGCCGTAAGTTCTGAGACCATAGAAAGATATGTAATCAGATGTTTTTTGACCTAGCAAGGAAGTTAGATTATGCAATATAGAGTTTTGTCCTCTGCAAATTGTTCGGTATTGCCAATGCATTATGGCTCTCACAGATGCTGCTCCAATATCATCCAGGCCTCCCTGTAATTTGAAGAACTCGATAAAATAAAACATGAATAAACAAATGAATAAACTTGAGAGAGACATTGTGATAGAGAAAGAGAACAAGGACCTGGTATCCTGGCAAGAGGGGGATGATAATTATTACCCTGAAGCATTTTTTTTCATAGTATGCCCGCATTATGCGCTTGTATAAAGCATCAAGTACTCGGTTTTGAATGATATCATCCCCAGAGAGGCCAGATATAAAAAACTGGTTCTGGAAGTGGGCATTTAGAGCAAACAATTTCAGAAGTTAGATCTAAATTTCCATACGATCTAAAGCAGAAAATCTACATTGCTCCACATGGAAATGTCACTTCTAGATTCATATGCAGAATGCAGAGTACACTTTTTTCAGAAGAAAGTGAACTGCCTGACATCTGAAACACTTAACTTTTGATCTGGAACATGTCTTGATGCTTACAAACAGAAAATATATCGAGTACACTATATACAAGGGCCTGATGATCCTCAGCAACACGGATCTAATGAGGGACACATATAGATTACAGATCATAAGATATGCTTAATTAGTAATTACCTCTATGAAGACAAAGTACTCAGCATTCTCAATGAGTGAACAATAAGCAGTATGAATGCTATCTTCAGTATATCTTGTTCCTGCTGACCATTGGCTTACACTTCTAATTATCTACAAAGAGCCAGACATTGAATTAATAAACAATTAAAAAGTCAGTATAAAATGTCTACAAACATAGGAATATGTTAAGACCCGGGGTTCCATCCTAAAAGGTCAACCTAATAGGAGGAGTAGCCCAAAGCCTTATATAGTGTATAATTGTTTTATAGCTTTCCGGTGTGGGACAAATGCTTTATTAGAATAAAGGAAGAGAGAAAAAATCTTGGTCCATACAAAGAAATGCCTAGAATAGACTAAGATCAACTGAGCCATCTCAAAACAAACAACAAACGAGCTGCAAAACTGAAGCCATACTTTCTCCTTAGTCTTTCCCACTTAAACTATGTATGGTTTCTTAAAATATTTATGAGTAATTCTAAATTTCTAAAAATGGACAAATTCTTTGAAGTGAAGACGCGTACATTTTATTATCAATTAAAATATACTTTTAAGTGTTGGGGTGTGAGTGAAGGCCATATTCTTTTCATTAATAATGTTAAAAGTTAACATCATTACAATGTGAAGAAGTCTAGTGGTCACTCCCAGATATTAGTACCCCCCGAAAAAATATAAATGAATAAGAAGAGGGAGAAAAGGAAAACAGCAACCTGACAGGAACAAGGGATCTGAGGACCAACGTCAGCTAATTTATCAACTGAGAACTGAGCTCTCTCCTGTGTTTCACACCAACCGTCTTTCAGTTTGGTTGATTGATCTAGTGGATCCACATGACTATAGAAATCTGCAAGTTTTCATCTCCAGATCTAAGATTTACGAGAAGTATAGTGGAGTCGTAAATACTAGTACAAAGCTCCCAAGCTTTCACATCAGATCAATGGAGACACGGAATTAGACTCTATACATACCATCTTGTGTGTTGTTTGGGTTGGACGTTTCCCTGCTGTTAGTTTCCGGAGGCAAAAGCAATGGTATGCCTTCAGGTGGTGACTCTGAACGAAATGCGTCTGGTCTATTTAAGTCCTCTACACTTGCTTGGTCATTCTTAATTTCGACATCTATTTTTTGGCTTCTTCCCAGGTAATGTGGGATTACCATGTGGTGTTGTGGCATAAGGAGCGGTATTTCTTGTTCATTTGCGGCTTTGCTTCTCTGTGGAACATGCTGTGATATAAGTAAATTAAATTTTATGAGTATTAAAAGCAAAGGAGGAATAAATAAACCTTAGCATGATTCCAGCGCTGAACAAAATGCCTAGCAATATCTCGGCAAGGTGGTCCCCATAGAGCACATTGGACATCATGCCAAGGCATACGTGGATATATTTCTCGGTCCAGCTCATCTCTCATCGTATGTTCCCAAGAATTTGGTTCAGATTCTCTGCATTATCCAAATAGGAAGATTCCAAACATGAAACGTTAAAGATCCGAACACATACAATTGATTAGAACATTCAACAGACTAGTTCAATGGGTTTGTTAAGTATCCAAATTTGGATGCTTATTGGGGTTGAGTCTCATGTGTATGGGTATACCACACCTCTTCAAAATTCCATTTTTGGTGAGTTATTCCAATCTAATACAGTATTAGAGCATGGCCGGCAGCCGCTTGAGGTTTGTTTGTCAGACGTCCTATGATTTAATCACATTTGTGGTCTGTATGGTCCATTCACCCACCTCTTCAGTTGTCTAGCCTGGTTTGAACTAAGCGGGTGTTAAGTATCCACAAGATTCTTTTGGGGGTGAGTTAAAATTGTTTTAAAATTATCAATTTTAAAGTCCCAAGTTACAAGTTCTACAACTTGTCCATACTGACTTCACTGTCATAAGTTGAGTGTAAGACGAAGACCAAATCATTCAGCAACTTCACTATCATAATCTAAGTTTGAGGAGAAGATTGCAATCACCTTGGGTTGTAATAGTCCTTTCCAGGCCATAACAAAGGAGGGTAATCACAAACTTTATGTTCAACTGTATCATAACGACCGAAGCATAAATCCAATCCTCCAATATAGGAGATATGATGATCCACAATAACAATTTTTTCATGGTGTGACCTGCATATAAGTGAGCACTTCTAGTTTGTAAAAATATAACACATGGGAAGAAAAATACATTAACAATAGATAATCCTAATGGCATACCAGTAATAGATCCCAGCAGATAAATGGTTAGGGTAGCGTAGAACTTTCACATTCTTGTGGATGCTAAGAAGCTTTCTTTTACTGTATAAACTGTTGATTTTCAAAGCAAGAGCGACCTCCTTGTACAGGAGAATGTATATCTGCATAGATGTAAAGCTCAACGTTACTGAAATTCAACCAACCATACCAGAGAAAAAATATAAATAAAAAGCGGAATAAACAAACAAATAAGTAAATAAATCATCATCACCATAAACCCAACTAATTGGGTGGATGTATGATTTTTTTAGTGCTTATTAATTTATAGAGCTAAGATTAGTTAATATTATAAATTCATGAAGAAAACAGTGATAAAGTTCTACGTAGGATGCCATTCATGTTGTAAGAATGGATAAAAGATAACGAGATGAAATTCTCAACCCATATCACCAAAGGTTATTGTCACTTGCATGGAAAATCATGAAACAATCATATTTGCTATTGTCATGTTCATTACAACAACAAAATCCAAGCCTTAGTCCCAAAAGATTTTGGGGAGTCATGTTCATTACAAGATAAATATTGTAAAATCAATCTCCATTCTGAAAACATGATGCAAAATAAATAAATAAACAGCGAACAAAATTTAACCTACAAACTATATAACTTGTTGAGTTCAAAAATATGAAAGGGGAGAAATCAAATTGTATTGCACATTTGCACCTGAACCCCTTGATTAGCTTTTGCTTCAAGTAAGGCATCTAGCCTGGAGGAGCTGTGCTTATGAAATGGCCGCCGCAAGTACAGTTCAGGGCAAAGCCACCATCCAGTAATATATATCTGCAAACACAACATGCTCGTTTCCATCTCCAAATTTCAGATATAACAGCTAATAACCTAATAACTTAAAGAGTGAAACCTCAGATGTGGCACTCTCTATTGATGAAGCAATTGCTTCATATGCTGCCCTTCCATCTATAAACCACTGAGCATGACTGCCATCCTCGGTCAATCCTCTTTGTGGAGCAAAAGAACCAAAGCGGTGAGTACCACGCCAACCTTCTCTGGACTTCAGACCAGCATCATTAATTGCAGAAATCCAATCTTTAACTTTAGCATGACTCGAAGTTCTGAACTTTATGCTCCGATTCTCACAACAAACCTTTATGTGAATTCAAAAAATGTGAGAGAAGTAGAGAACATATAACACTCCAGACAAAACAATTATAAAAAAATAGAGGTGTGGTGCCAGGAGATTGAAACGAAAGAAAAGTGGTAAAAAGCTTGAGAGGAAGAGGACACAGTTACTTTATTTCCATATCTCCTATTTTTCAGGTTTAGTTAAAACTAAAAAGTTTGTTGAACTGTCAAATGAATCTTTAACAAGCAAACAATTGGACCATTAAGAATGAAGTAAACACAAATCAAGTGTCAGTCCCATCAATTAAATGAATGAACTAGGCTATTTGCAGGTGAAGGCAAATCTATTAGCTATTGGACAGCAAAACTAGTAGAGAGGAAGTAGGTGAAGGCAAGTAATAAAATTTCTTTAAAGTTTGATAAATGTAAAATACCATTGAATATTGATCAATCAAGTCCAGTGGCCGACCTTGAATGAATAACGCAAAGGATTGTGCTCCCTTATCTCCTCTGCCAAATTTACTTGCGCCTCACCTTTATTTTTAGCAGCAGGAAGGGGATCAAAAACAAATATGTCCAACAGCTCAGTGTCAAAAGGACTTCTTAGTAAAGCTAAGAAACTAGGCTTCAAAACAGCCCAAACCTACAGTGAATTAAGAGAATAATTAGCAGAATGAGCTCAGACAGACACTTCTATTAGAGAGACACCACAGAGGATGATGCAGGTTATCTTATTGAGAATGCGCTAATCTAAATTGCTAATGAGCCAGAGAAACAATTAAAACAAGAAATATGTCCAACAGTTCCATATCAAAAGGGCTTCTTACTTATTGGGTTATTGGGCTTTTCTTGTTTCTATATAACTTAAATATGTACTTTTATTGGAGACGAAAATGCGAGGATGATGCAGTTTTTGTCATTTTAGAGCTTACTAATCTAAACATACTAATGAGCCAAAGACAATTAAAAAATGGACTCCATTAAAGCACTATATTGTGACAAATAGGAAGACCAAAACAATTCCAAGTCTGTTGATAATAATATGTTATTAAAGTTATATAGAAACAAGAAAAGCCCAATAACCCAAAAAGTAAAAAGCTGGATAATAGGCTTTGATGACAGAGACTAACATATTCTAACCATTTGTGCAAATGATAAAAACCACGAAATATTACTGAACTTCACTGTTTATGGTATTTTCTATGAATTGGTAATACGATTATTTGTTTCGCAATTGCAAAATGTTGGTTCCAATATTGACTAGATAACTATGACCTTATTAGCCACTGGGGCTAGATAAAAAAGGCATGAACAATCTTTCTTTATGTAAAAGACTAGGACCTCACCAAGAGCTTATTATTTAACCTAAACAGAATCATAAGAAGCGTATTTAAAGGACCTTGTGAAGAGAACATACCTTTCGCCAGTCATTCTGGCAGCAACCAAGCCCAGAACATCCAAAGCCCTCATTCTCAGTAACTTTTGGCAGATGCTTAACCATTAGATAGTTCTCTATAAGCTTTGGGCCATACTCAGGTAAAAAGGATAACTTGGAGACCTCCAAAAACTTGCAGACCTATCAAAAGAAAACACAAAGTTAGGAAAATAATACAACTTTCTAACAGCTTCAAGAATGCTTTTACTCAGTCTGCCATTTGTAGCATAATTTCAAAAACCAAAATCAGCGATTAAATAGCATTTGTACCACAGTTAAGGTATAGAATAAACACAAATGTATGAAACTATGGAAGGATGTAATGACTACAACATGTATATTCCCTCCGTAGTCCGTCCACAAATGTGTGATCTAAATTCACTTCATTTCAAACTTCATGAGAAACTGAAACATCAAACATGTGCTGTCCTAAAAAGATGAAAGAATCAAGTTCCACCTCACTAGAGTTAACAATATCCATGTTCTCTAAAAAGTGATTCAGATAATCTTGCATCGCTCTTTTTGCTCTCTCAAGTATTGCATGTTGCCTCCCTAATGAAGGACGAATGATTGGCAAAGCAGCTCTAGATGGAACATGCCTGCATTATCAATTTGTGTGCCAGAAACACAACAGTTACTTAAGAAAAATATTTACGTGGTACTAATCGTTATGACCTATTATGTGGGTAAAGGGAGTAAAAGAAGTTTGTCATTACCTATTTCTAATACTATCTTCATTATGTGCAAGGGCAGCGCCATCATTAGGCTCATCATCATACTGTTGGGCTGTAACTTGTTCCCCTATTCGTATATGGTGGAGCCACTCCTTAACCTGGCATTTAGAGATCAAATGAGAAATCAGTCATCACACTTTCATCCACCACATACATCACCTAATCCTCAGAGTTCCGTGCATTAATGAGAAGAAATAAGTCAAAATAAGGCCAAAAACCTGCTCTTGCTTTTCATGGAATTCCTCAATCAATGAACGCTTCCTGAGTGCAAAGTGTAAGTAAATAACTTCTGAAGCCTTCTTCAATAAGACCCACTGGAACTGTATGTCAAAACACGAGGACGTACACATTATTGTATAAAGAGTAAGGAGTTATTCCTAAGACGCTGGACAGCTGGATACAAGTTTTTACCAACTCTTTTTAGTTAAACTCAAAGTGTTTTTTATTGATGCATAACACAGCCTACAACTTCATTGTATTCTAATAATTCTTGTAGTGTCTATGCAGAGACTTATGTGTTTAGTCATCCCACATAAGCAAAATAAAAAATATATAAACCCAAAGTTGTATAAGATCTTGAATTATTCCTCCTATTATATTGACCTTTTAAATGAACTACAAAGTTTTAACATAATGGATCTAATGCTAGCCAATGAAGGTGGAAAACTTATGGTTCTTCAGCCCAGAGTTACTATATTTCTATACATATATCTTCAACATTCCAAGACTCCTCAAGCTGAGGAGTGTATGACATGCTCCTAGCTTGATATAAAGCTTAGAAATTTGAACATGAACTGAGCATGAATTGGTAAAATTAGCCACATAGCCTACAGTAGTGGAAAAAATTAGCCCCGGAAAATTTCGCCCCACTACACTAAAGAATTTTTTTTCACCCCTACACTACCGAAAATTTTCGCCCCCTGAATAGAAATCCGGATCAGTCCCTGTATGTAAACAGACGTACACAACAAAAGAGCTATGTATAAAGTAAGTAAGATGGTTGCCTGTTTATAACGGAGTTGAATAGTGTATGTGAGCAGCAAGGGGGTGAAGCCGATGTCTCCAGGCTCCGCCCTGGACACGGAGACGATGTTCGCCTCCGGCAATTCGTCAAAAATTCGGTCTGGCTCTGCGTTGGATAGGAGTGAATGCGACGAAGACAGCGCCGACGAGGACACGCAATTTTCTCCGACCAACTTCTCCCTCAACATTTCTCCTTCGCTCAGTAATCAATTCCAAAGGTTGTAGAAAACAACCCTTTTCACCATTTCACTTCTCCACATTAAATAAACGGGCATGAAGACGAGCTAGCTGTATATGTAGAGGAGGAGAGAAGTGTTGGTGAAGAGTGACAGGTGAAAATCCACCGACTTCGCGTGAACTTCCAAGCTGCCACATGTGAGTAGTAAGATGATGAATGTCATCCAACGGTCCCCAACTGCCACGGAAACTCAGAAAAGAGTAAGAGTTTGTTTTCAACAGGGGTTTTAAAAAAATGTTTTTTTTTAATGAAATGAAGAAAAATGATTAAATAAAAGTTGATAGTGTTTGAGAAAAAAATGATTTTGAAAAGTAAAAGTGAGTAGTGTTTGGTAAAATAAGTGCTTTTTGTGTAATAGAAAAAGTAAAAGCACTTTTGACGCGAAAACCGAGAAAAATAAAAGTTGTAGTGTTTGGGAAAATAAGTGCTTTTTAAAGCCAAAAGCTGAAAAGTGCTTTTTTAAAAACAGTTGCAAACCAACCCTAAGTTTCCAGTTTCGGAAATTCTCGGACTCTTTGGAAACTCTCCACATAAGTTTTTTTTGAGTAAAAATTGGCGTTTCCGGTTTTCCGTTTCCTCACAATTTTCGCGTTTCCGTGCAACATAGGGAAGAACAGCTTGATGCCCAAATCTGCTGTTTTTTTTTGGAAGAAAAAATCGGGTGCATTAGTTGATTCTGCTGTATCAAGTTTTTGATTGAAGTGATTGGATTTACCGATGCTGTTAGTTTACGAAAAGGGAATGTTTGGGTTTGATTCTCAAAGCTGCACCTTCTGCTCCTTCCTCGAGTAGAAATAGAAGTTGGTTGGAGTTAGGCCTGTCAATGGGTCGGGTCTAGACCCGGGCCCGATCTGAATCCGACACTTTATTTGAGGGTATGAGTCTAAATTTAGAACCGTTTCCCGGATCCGGATCCAAACCCGTTACATGATAGAGAAAATGGGTCGGATATGGATTTGTAAGACTCCCTTTGATCCGATCATATGGAATCACCTTGAAGAACTATAAAAGACATTAAAACCTTCAAGCACGTTTCATTACTTTCATATATTCAGTTCTCCAAATAAAATTGGGGTTAGGTCATGAATAATACTAATTAAAGGGATTTGGACAAATATAGGACCACTTTTAATAGTTTCAAATAAAGTGACCATGCGTGTGTGCCGTTTAGAAACTTAGGATTAATATTCCAAATTTGCCCACCCAAGCCTGCCTAGTCAATGCCTGCCTAGTCAATAGGTGGTAAACTAAATACGGAGTAGCTTGACTTGCGCGTGTTTCCCTGGCAATGATTAAAAATTATTTATTTGTTTTTTATATTATTCCTCAATTATAATTAGAAGGTGACTATTTAAAATTACTTGATCAGATAAATTACAAGTACACGTTCACCTCGTTACAATTATTTATCCGATCAATTATCGTTATCTGATCCGATCAGTTACAATTATCTATTTGATTAGTTACAGTTATCTGATCCGATCAATTAAAATTATTCGATTCGATCAGTTACAGTTACTCAATTGATCAGTTACAGTTACCACACCAACCAGTTACAGTTACCCGACCCGCCAGTTACAATTACCCGAACCGCTCAGTTACAGTTATCCGACCCATCCAGTTACAGTTACTCGATCCGCCCAGTTACAGTTACATGACCCGTCCAGTTACAGTTATAGTTACACGACTCGTCAAGTTACAGTTACAGTGACACGACCCGTCCAGTAACCCGATATAATTATCTGATTCTTTAACTATAGTTATCCAATTCCACCGATTACAATTGTCGGGTTTGACCCTTTATAGTTACCCCGATACCACCCCCACCGGCCACCAACACCTTCGACCACCACCGGCAACACCACACCCCAGCCCCTACCTCACCCAGACCCTCCCCTTTGTCACTTCAACTCCCTACCTCGATCACCCAGTCCCCAATCTAGGCCCCACCATCACCTGCAATCTTCCACAACCCTGTCAGCAGCAGCCCAACCAGCACAGCCCCCCCTCACATCCGTTAGCTAGCTTCCCAGACCCAACAACCCATCCCCATCCCAGCGGCCAACCACTGCTGCCCACCCTACCCAAAAATCCTAGCCATCAACCAAGGTGTAGCAGTCGTCTCCACCTCCGATCGCCGCTGCTCAGATTTGCCGCCGCTGGGAGTGATTTTCCTCCCCTGATTTCATGATCTCCTTTCAAATTTGTCTAGATCTAGAATAAAATAAGGTTGGCCTGAGAGAATCCGAACCAGTTCGCCATTAAAAAGAAAGAGTAAAAGAAGAAAAGTGTTGGGTGGCGAAACGGCGGTGAAGTAGACCACGGCGACGGCGACAATGGAGATGGGAGTGGAGGCAGCGCCGGTCAGGAAGATGGAGCCACATCGGAAGCTATAGACCACGGAGGAGAAGCTACTGTAGACACACGTGGGAGGAAGATGGAGTTGTCGGCTAATCCTCCAGGCTTGGACAAATTAGACTTTTAACTTTAGTTTAGTCTCATTTTTGTCAAAATGATACACTGGTCCTAATTTTGTCTACCGAGACCCGGGTAATCCTATTGCCGTCATTCTTTCAATAAAATTACTTTACAATTATGTTGAAAAACTTCTATCTGAATAACATTTTTTAATTACAAAAATGCTTGAGGTACACACTTTGTGTACACACTTTGTGTACAATTCATATATGAGTTGTCTGTGACAGACAAAATTTTCTTAAGAGACAGACGAGTGTACACAAAATGTGTACACAAAGTGTGTACCTCTAGCATTTCTCTTTTAATTATTAGATTCACCAAACTAAATATGATACGCAGTAATTATGTAAACAATGTCTGATGTCTCTGACTTGCATTGGAATTACCTAAATATAACCAATTTTACTAATATCAAAAGTTATATTCAACCAAAATCCACAAAATTGCCGGGAGTGTTTGCAACAGCTTTCGCTTAAAAAAGCACTTTTTGGAAAAGTAAAAGTTGGTAGTGTTTGGTAAAATAAGTGTTTTTTGTGTAATAAAAAAAAGGAAAGACACTTTTCACCCGAAAGCCGAGAAAAGCAAAAATTGATAGTATTTGATAAATAAGTGTTTTTTTAAGTCAAAAGTCAAGAAGTGCTTTTTTGAGCTAGCCGTCAACACTTACAAATTTTGATCCTACGTATTACGGAGTATCTATTACTTCCTCCGTTCCCTTTTAATCGCAACAGTCAACATTTCACGTTTGCCAACGCACAAGTTTGACCATTAATATCTTTCATTCCTTATTAGTAAAAAATTCAAAAAATTCATATTTTGAAAATTTAGAATGAGAAGAATTTAATAATATTTTTAAAAAAATTAATTTATAATACATTAATGAATAAAATATAGTCAAAGTAGAATATGTGAATAGTGCAAAAAGTCCAATGTTGCGATTAAAAGAGAACGGAGATAGTATTATTGCTCCGAGCACTCATTTTATGATTCAATGTATTCTGTGGCATATTCGCATGACACTTCATATATATACGAAGTATATGTATATACGGAATAGAATATTCAACATATGTGCCGAGCAGAGAAATGAGAATATTCCCAAAGTGGTACGTATTTGGCTGATTGTCATGCTCAGATGAACAGTTCATTAATTGGCTTGTTTGAGTATATGAAATGATTTTGCCCAGCTAAAATCATTGTTTGATAATTGGCGGAGCAAGAATTTAGTGTCTAAGTGGTATCAATTTAGCAAAACAATATTATATAATAATGTGTACATATAAAGCAAAAAATAGCAAATATTGTTATTAATAAAATTAAAGTACCAATTCACAACTGTTCTCAACGCGTTTTCATATTTTGAAAGCGTTGTACAATTTTTTCTTTGTCAACACATTTGAATATATCTTTTTCAATATTAGTAACTAAGGTATCATTAATCATAGCATCCCTCATTCGATTGCGCAACCTGTTCTTCCACTACAAAAAAAAGTCGCCATTGGGTCGGATTTTGGCACAGATCGCTTCACAAAATTCCCAGACTATCGCTTTCGGCTCAGATTTGGCACGGATATGAAATCCGACGCACCTGGCTCGTGCCAAATGAGTTGGCACGGATATAATCATCCGCGCCAACTCTTGGCTCGGCATTGGGCACGGAAGTTCAGAGACAACAACACTGATTACTCCCCCAAAAGTTTGGCTCGGATGTAACTTGGCACGGATATTGGCCCGGAATAAACCGGGTAGAGCAAATCTTTACCCGTTTGTTGGTGCGGATAAGTTCGTGCCAAATATTTTACCAAATTTCATTTAGGTTTTTGGTACGGACAATTTCCGTGCCAAAATTAATTAAAAAAAAAATGTACACCGTACATATGTACGGTATACCGTACATATGTACGGTGTACATTTTTTTTTACAAATCATTATAAACAAAACATTTAACTGGAATCATATAATACTGTAGTCCAAAAAGATAAACATTACAGAGTATGTAATACACATTCAAATTATAGAGCAAATTATGAACCACACATGCAAACTATAGAGCAAATGAAAGAGCACAAATAAACAGAACATTATTATGTTACAGCAGTCCAGGCAGATAAACCACTGCCAAAACAAAAGTAGAAATGGCAAATAAATTGCCAGAAGATGTCCAGAACCAGTACAGAAAGTTAAAGAGGTTGTTCATTACACAAATAAATCAGACAGCCGCACTTCATTCGATTCATGTAGCCCATTCATTTGGGCGGAGGTCGGGGTACGAAAAGGCGAGAAATCAGGTAGCGGGAAAGAAGGGTTTGAGCTTCACACTTGCTCCATGTACGCAGTAAACGCAGAAGTCATGTTCGCCATCTGAGTTTGAAACTGCTTTTCCTGCTGCGCCAAATGGGCTTCCAGCTGGTCCTTGATGCGGGAATCAATTTCCATCTGAGTCGGCCCCGATATCCGGCTGGTACATTCAAGGTCAGACATCACTTCAGCTTCAGATCCCGTCCCAAACCGCCTGCCTTTGTATAGTGGGACCACCGCGCAAAACAGCTCAGAATCATCCTCTTTGTACGACTTCCCTTGCGATTCAGCCTGGGCTTTCATCTCATTGTATTTTTGCTGCACAATCAGAAGACAGGAGGTTACGAAGACATATACTCCTTATAGTAATATGAAAAACTGATATATATATATATATATATATATATATATATATATATATATATATATATATAATTTACCTTCGTTTCAACTACACGTGATGGGGGTTCGCCCGATTTCGGGACATAAACCTTGTCAAACACTTCAATCTTCAAGGGTGGCCTATTCAACTCCTTCGTCTACAAAATCAAAGTTAGGAGTTCATTAAAAGGTAAAATGCAGTTCATAATACTACAATACAACTCAATTAAACTCACCAGCCTTTCAACATGCGTAGTCACCGGTATCCTGCCACCGCGATATTGTGATTCCTTCCCAGCTTTAGAGTTCCTGTTCTTCTTTCCAGCATGTCTCTTTTTCTTAAAAGCATCAGAGGCCCAATATTCTTACAACACCTTCCAATCTCCATCTCCAATCCAGTCCGGCTTCTTGTTTTCCCGCCCAGCTCTGCCAATATTTTTGCTCAACCATTCAGAGACCCGAGACTTGAACTTCTTTTTCATTTTGGTATTAAAGCAGATATCCCACTCATACTTTCTCTGAAAACACAAAAAAGACTTAATCAACATCCTAACTCACAATCTGTCAAATAAAAACTAAAAGTACTTATAGCATACCTGAAACAGTTTCCACCAACGGTTGCGTTGATCAGCGTCTGCATGCATATAAGAACGCCATGGCCCGTGGAAATTGTTGGTCAGGATTGAAATGATGTTGTTGAGTACAGTAGGATTGCTACATCATAAAAGCACATATAAGTAATGTATAGATAGGAATTTACTATATAAAAATTGCCTAATGCTGTTTTACATTACCTTCTCATTTCAAAGGGTGAAATGAAAGTCTTTTGCTGAACAGATTCATCGGGGGTCGAATAATCAAAACCACTTAAATGTTCATCAATAGGGTGTCGGGATTGGACAGACTCATGCGAATCACCTAGAGGAGAGTTCTGCTCATTCTGGACAATGGGTGAGCTACCTCTGCCTCCACGACCTACGCGGGAGGAAGTAAACGAAGTGAATGAACCTCTACGGGCAGACATTCTATTGAAACGCATAGAAATATTATAGAAAGAGACCAGTGAAAAAAATAGGTTATAACCAAATAATATCAAAAAAATTATGAAATTCGTTTGAAAAAATTAGGATACACCAAGTAATATGAAGAAATTAGGTTATAACCAACTTAAAAATAATACTTACATTCGCATATATAATTACGAATTTAAGAATTTATATCCTTCGTTTATAAATAATCCCTTCATAAATTTATAGATACTTTATAAATATATTGTAATAATATGATTATAATGTACAAAACAATAACTTTTGGGAAATAATGGCTTACCCTATTGGGTGCCTTGACCTCATATTTATAATAAAAGCCGGTATTGGAAATTACAAAGTATCCTAATATAAATACATTATTACACCCCCTCAATCTGTGCAGGGGAGACAACGCACAGATTGGATTTCAAAAACTCAAAGCGCTGACTAGATAAATTTTTAGTAAAAAGATCAGCTAACTGCAACTGAGTAGGAATGTATTTCACAACAAGATCTCCATGAGCTACCCGTTCGCGAACAAAGTGATAATCAATTTTAATGTGCTTGCTTCGGTCATGCTGAATAGGATTAACGGCCAAGTAGGAGGCGGAGACATTGTCACAATGAAGCTGAGCAGGAGCCGAAATAAGTATGCCCATGTCGGCCAAGAGTGACCGAATGAATAGTGTGTCCTGAACAGTGTATGCTATGGCGCTGTATTCAGCTTCAGTAGATGATTTTGACACCGTTGGTTGCTTTTTGGACCTCCAAGAGATGAGATTGGACCCCAGAAAAACCGCATAACCAATCGTGGAGCGTGAACTATCCGGGCAACCTGCCCAATCTGCATCAGAATAAGCCATAATAACAGAAATATTTCTGTCAGATCGTAACCAGAGGCCGTGAGTCGATGTCCCCTGTAAGTACCTGTAAATTCTCTTAACAGCCAGGAGATGAGAAGTACGTGGAGCATGCATAAACTGAGAAACCAGGTGAACAACATATGTAATATCAGGTCTAGTTATAATCAAATACTGAAGAACACCTACCATGCTGCGATACTCAGTAGCATCTGATAAAAGTTCCTCATCTGTGAGAGAGAGCGTAGTACGTGAAGGAAGAGGTGTACGTACAAGCTTAACAGTATGAAGATGAAATCTATGAAGGAGATCAGATATATACTTAGCTTGGGACAAAAACAGATCGTTAGATGTACGTTTGGCTTGGATGCCCAAGAAATAATGAACATCACCTAAATCCTTCATTGCAAATTGACGGGATAGAGTGTGGATGACAGTAGCAACAAACGAAGAAGATGAACTTGTGATAAGAATATCGTCCACATACAAGAGAATATAGATAACCTGAGACTGAGAACGATAGACAAACATGGAAGAATAAGATTTACTCTGTGTAAAGCCCCGACTCAACAAAAAACCACTAAACCGATGAAACCAAGCTCGAGGAGCTTGTTTCAATCCATAAAGAGCTTTGCGTAAACGACAGACATGGTTAGGAAATGAGGGATGAACAAAGCCCTGAGGTTGAGGCATGTAAACCTCTTCAGTCAAATAGCCATGTAGAAAAGCATTTTTCACATCAAGCTGTCTAACAGACCAATCTAAAGAAATAGCAACAAATAAGATAAGGCGGACAGTGGTAGGTTTAACAACAGGACTAAATGTTTCAGTGAAATCAATGCCGGCCTGTTGTTTAAAAGCCTGAGCAACTAATCGGGCTTTATGCCGTTCAACAGACCCATCAGAACAATATTTTGTCTTATAAATCCACTTACAACCAACCACATTTTTAGTATGATCCCAAGGTACTAAATCCCAAGTCTTATTAGCAATTAAAGCATTAAATTCATCAGCCATGGCTGCCCGCCAAATATCACTCTTATTTGCCTATGTAAAACAAGTAGGATCAGCCGGGGGAGAAAAAACACTTAAATTAAAAATATGTTTTGGTTTAACGATCCCATCCTTAGCCCGAGTACGCATAGGGTGAACTTTTAAGGGAACAAGAGGTAGGATACTGGATGAAGTAGAGCTGCTGCCATCCGAGTGGGATGACCGGCCAGCAGTGGGTGTTGAGCTGGGACTACTCTCGGCAGTAGGCAAATGCAGTGAAGGAGAGGATGGACTGGAATAATTGGTAATAGACTGTGAGGATATGGGAGTTGTGTGCTGAGTATTAGTTTCTGCTATGGGAGTTATGGGTGGAGAATGTGGGTTAGGTGAGGCTGGCAGTGAAGGAGAGGGAGTAGTGGACGGGCTGGGTACTAAATTTGGTAAGGAGGCAGTAGGTCGCAGGGATGAGGTGGATAACCATGATGGTGAAAGGCTATATTTGGGACTGGTAGGAATGGACAATAGGGTAGGATATGGGAAAACATTTTTGTGAAAAGTGACATCCCGACTCACATAAACCCGTCCCGTGGAAGGAGAAAGACAGCGGTAACCTTTGTAGCCCGGTGCATAACCAAGAAAGACACATTGTATGGAACGAGGTGATAGCTTGTTGTGAGAGGCAGCAATTTAAAAAAAAAACGTCTGTCCTTGGGACGGATACTCTTCCCTACCTTATTGTCGCGGCATTTGGCACGGATATTAACACAGGCCAACCACGTGACAATTTTTTCGGTCTTGTCACGGATGTAGGGTCGAAAATTCCGAGCCAAACATGTTGGCACGGATAAGTCCGTGCCATTGTAGTTATAAATCAACTTTTTCAGCTTTCCGTCCCCAAATCCGCGCCAAAATTGTCTAGGATTTGTTCCGTGCCTAAATCCGTATCTATAATGAGTTTTTTTGGTAGTGTTCACGATCTTCGTGGTTGAGAAGGCTCTTTACACAATTGCAGTGGCCACCGATAAAAGCAAAGCAAATTTCACATGTAAAAAAACCAATGGACACACAATATGTTTCTTTGCCTCCACCAATTTTTCGGCAAGAGAACCAATTTCTTTAATATCTATAATGCAGAGTTGGAGTGCACATCAAGAATACAAGTTTCAAGTTGACTGTCAAAAGCAAAAATATCTATCCGAAAAAAGTCAAAAGGATATAGTCGAGTCATGCAAATCAACTTGTCCTTGTCAAAGGAAGAAAAGGTGTCTTTATAGTAGCTTTAATCATATAGAAATTGTCTTGAATAGGAGTAAAAACGTTTTGAAATTTTGAAATAGGACATTTATGTTTTTATTCCCTATATAAGATCAGTAATTTCTGCTAAGTTTGGAAATTATTTGACATAAATTGCCATGTTTAAAGTCTGATAATCCCAAACTTGGTAGAAATTATTTATATTTAGGGAATTAAAACATGACGGTCCTATTTTGAAATTTCAAAACTTTTTTACTCCTGTTGAGGGAATTTTCATTTCATCATATTACTGTAAATATGTTTTATTTTATTAATATTTTCAAAAAAAACTGAAATTGTATGAAAGTATAGCTAAAATAGTTATCTTCATCAACTCAGCCAAAATCAGCTAGAAAAGTAACTCTAGAGCCCATTTGTCACCAAACAATAATTTTTAGAACCAAGCATAATCAAATGACACATCAAATTTGATAATCAAGCTCGTAAGTTTTTTGGTAAAGCTTAAATATTACTCCCATGTTACGTAGAATCCAACTTGCCGCATGTTAGGTAAAATGTTACTCCAAAAGGTGGTGATTCCTCACCTGTCTTCCATTGTGGTGGTTAGTTCATAAAGTTTTTTTAAGCATACTCAAAGTGACTCATCAAAAGTTGCGCATTTGATGAAAAAGTTGATTAAGGCCGATTAACGAGAAATTAATAAGTGGGTGAAGTTTTAGAACCACATGGGTAGTCTTGTATAAAATGGATGCCTCCTCCTCCTCCTCCTCCTTATTGTCTGCAAACAACTGTTGCTCACTGTGCCGTTGTTTCCTCCGGCGGTGAGATCTATCGAATCGGCAAAGTGCGTCTTCAGATTTGAAAGCCAAGATCAACTTTGTGGCAACGATAGATTCCTGTCGACCCTAAGAAGAATTGGAGCGTTGGTGTAGGGAGGAAGGCAGGGAGTTGGTGTAGGTGGTGGCGGTCGGGCCAAGCGACGACGATTGCCAGGTGGTGGTGGTGATTGATGGTGAAGGGTTGCAGGCAGTAGTCATTGGCAGGGAGCTTGGAGGCTGTGGGAGGCTGGAGAGGTCAGACCAGCAGAGAGGGAAGGATAGTCACTGACGTGACAGTTGGTGACCGTAGTGTAGTGGCAGCTCACCGGCGTTGACGACAGGTGGTGGTGCCAGGCGGTGGTGGTTACTTTAGACCGGGTAATTTTAACAGGTTGAACTAGATAACTGTAATGATCGAATCAGGTAACTATATCTGGTCGACTTAGGTACCTGTAATTGTTGAACTGAGTAACTGTAACTGACGAGTCGGGTAACTGCAACTGGTTAGATAATTGATCACTGTATGGGTTAGCTGGGCCTAATAAGGGTACATATAGTAGTCAGCGTATTCATTTTTAGTCTCATTTTTGGAAATTACAAGAAAAAGTCAATTTTTTGTTCAATTGTTATTTTTTTTTTTTGTAATATTGTTGTCTTATAATTAACCCTTAATTTTATGTCAGACATTCTTCATTAATAAATTCCTGCGTTTGGAAAGACCTAATAATTAACCTAAATATAGGCTAATATAAAAGCAATCTCAATTTGGTGGTGAGAAAGACTCCGAGGGACATAAAGAAAATCTTAAAAAGGATAAGCTAGAGGAAAAAGAATATGACCAAAATAAATACTATCGTATGATTTACAAAAATATAATCATTACTAGAATAGTAATGAAATCATAGTAATTCATGTTCAAGTTTTGAACTTTAGTTACCACAGCACTCCGTTGTAGTAATGAATAATCATATTTATGTAAATAAGTTTTATTTTAGTAATATTCTCGTAAAAAACCCGAGGAAAAAATCACTTCTATAAATACCTCCTATCTCACAAATCCAGACCCTAAAGGTGGGGCGTTGTATTTAATGCTCCGTACTCCATAGCTGATGGGTTAGCTTATCACAATTTTTCTATAGCTGGACGTTCTTCATCGATCTCGCTCTCTCAAAGAAATACCCCCTCAGGTATATCCGTATATATATAATTATACTACGTATCTATGTATCCAAATAGCAACCATGCATTGTTCAGATCGGCGATAGGGAAAAGCAATTTCGGCGATACATGGATATTATATCAAAAAAGCAATTTGGATTTTAGCCTATATTGCACGGAAACTCGAAAATCTTGAGTAAAAGAGAAACGGGAAACATAAATTTTTATTCAAAAAACGTTTATTTGAAGAGTTTTTAAAGAATATTTGAGGGAGTTTCTGAAACCTACTCTTCCCGAGATTTTCAGCCTTTCACTAGAATAATGAAACATATATACGTGCACGACTTATAATTATGAGCTAGAGAGTCCTAAGAAGTGTGACAGGCTTAGCTTAATTAGCTTGTTGGTTACAAGCACAAAATTACTCCATATGATATTAATTAGGTTGTTCTCTCGTACGGTATATGATCGTCTTTTTTGGTGTCGTACCCAAAAATATATACAGATCGTATTATATTTGAGAAGAGTATATATACGAAGTATAATATTGCAAAACCCTAACTCTTACTGTACAATATTTATTTATGTAGATCGTATCCTATCCATATATCCTTATCGGATAGCATCTGATCGAAAGGGGCTTCTAGGGTAAAATACGGAATGACGCAGCAAACGGCTTCTTCAGAGGTAAGATTATACTTCGTACGGAGTATTATATATATCGCATCGATCACCCAATCCGCATGAATGATTTTTGGTTTTGTTCCATTGATTGTCGGGTAATATATATATCGCATCGATCACCCAATCCGCATGAATGTTTGGATCTCATTCTTAAATCTGTTGAAAGAGCAGAAGCAAAAGTTGGAGAGTTTGAGCGGAAGTGCAAAAGTATTTCTGGTCCCTTAATTTACTGATATAATCAGTTTTTTAGAAACTGATGAGACCAACTTCTGAAAATGATTCTGATTCTGCTTCTCTTTTAAAAAAGAAGCAGAAGTAGAATCACTTCCAAACACCCACCGTCCCCCGATCCCATTAATGTATTTTTCGTGCCGTATGCTTAGACTGTACGTAACTTTAATTTAATCTCGGGATAGTAGCAGAACCAAGATCAAATCGATCTTAAACATGATTAGTATATAGATTCCTTTTTAAAATTCAAATTTAGTAATACTTAGTTATTAGACAGTTAAATATATAAAAAATCGTAAAGTTATTATGATTATTAATATTAGTTCAATTATTACTCCGTATTATTTTAATACTTCGTATGAGATATAATATGAAAACAAGACGATTTCATCGGTTCAAGGACTTAATTTTGCAATATATATCCATGACTGCAACTATAAAAAATACTCTCACTATGGTTTAAAGATGCTTTTTGGATTGATTTCAATTTTAAATAGGATAAAATTAGATCAGGTCCAATTAGATTTCCATATTAGCTAATTACACATAAAGACAACTATTTGACCAAATTAGTCCAAACTAGAAAACGGAGTATATGCTTTAACATATTAAAATGCTTATTTTTTCTTTAGCCGCCAAAGCAAAATTAGTTAACGTAACATAACGTTGATATGTGACTATATAGAATTACACATTTACAAATGTGATCAATCGAATTGTAATTAATTGGCTTATCATATACGAAGTGATTATATTATTTACGTTAAGACAATGACATCGATGAATTCTTTTTTAACTGGAATTAGTGTCAGTCTAGACTAGATTTATCAGAACAAACAATCCAAACTTAGACCAAGTAAAATTATATATACATACACTTGACGTTTAACATACCAGAATAAACTTAAGGCCGGAATATACATTTAAATAGACCATAAAAGATAATACTAGAAAACTTAGTCCAAATAAAAATACCCTATAAATTAAAGTATAGTGTATTTTTAATAAGAGTATTTATGTTTTGTTTCGAACATAAAACTTACTTGTTCCTATTAAAAATAGAAAACTTTCACAATTACGGGTGAATGAATCATATTCTATTAAAGAGAAAACAATAATAACGTCTATAATGTTATTAGGTTAACGAAAACAATGAAAGATCGACGGCGGGAAACCAATCAGAAAAAGATCTAAACAGTTGGTTACCTATCACTGCTTCGAGGGAGGCAAAATGGTGGTACTCCACCTTCCACAACGTCACTGCAATGGTCGGAGCTGGTGTTCTTGGTTTGCCCTTCGCCATGTCACAACTTGGCTGGTGCGTTCTTCACTTCGATCCCCATCTATTTTAACATATTTATAAATTATATTGATCTTAACCTAATCTTGATTATATATCTTACGAAACAAAATATGGAACATGCTAGCATGCTCACTAAGGAGCACGCTAACGTGATGAATGATCGAGATTCGCTCATCTAAAATATTCAGAAAATCTCGACCATTTATCACACTGGTGTGCTTCTTAGGATGCTTTTACTTGGACTGTAATTTGCTGGTCTGCTTTGATTTGTTTAGGTAAATGAGTGATCACACTAGTGATCACCTAGTGATAACTAATGTTTAGGTAAATGAGTGATCACACTAGTGTAAGATTGTAATTTGCTGGTCTGCTTTGGTCTATTTACTATAATTTGCTGGTCTGCTTTCCTCACCATTTATCACACTAGTGTATTTTATAACTATGGAAGTCCGGTCTGGTCTGTTTAAGTCAGGTCTGAGCTGGTCTGATCTGATCTGGTCTAGGACTGAAAACAATCCAAGTAAAAACATTTGTAGTAAGCACATTAACCAGCGTACTTCATACTAAGGATAAACTTAGCTTGTTCTTTATTTAGAGATAAAAAGTTGAGAAGTTTGAAACGTTTTTTTACCACTATAGTCAATAGTACTCAATAACATACGAAGTATTAAAACTACTATACATATGTTCCTACATACATACAGGACTTGTGGAATCTTAGCCATTATCTTGTCATGGGTGGTAACACTATACTCATTGTGGCAACTTGTGGATCTTCACGAGGCGGTCCCCGGGAAGCGGTTTGATCGGTACCCGGAGCTGGGAGAGCACGCTTTCGGGCCGCGCCTCGGCTACTGGACGGTGATGCCATCACAGATGCTTGTCCAAGTAGGATCCGACATTGTCTACAATGTCACCGGAGGCAAATCTATCAAGAAGGCGGCAGAAATTTTATTCCCAAAATTTCAAATCAGACAAACTTACTACATCGTCTTCTTCACAGTGGTCCAGTTCGTCCTGTCCCAAGCTCCAAACTTCAACTCTATAAAGGGCTTGTCTCTGCTCGCTGCTATCATGTCTTTCAGGTAAACCAAAGCTCTCCTTTTATCAAAGCGTCATCTTTTAAGGATGGATTAGTTTATCAAATAATAATGACATTGTTTTCTTCCTAATATACTACTTGTGTACGCTTATTTTTTTATAATTGTTTTATACGATCCATAATTACTACTCCCTCCCTCCCTCCCAAATGTTTTGCAAAGTCAACAATTTTTGGTCAACCAATAATAAAAGTCAATCATCCCTATCCATAAATAATTCAATTTTTAATAATTAAAATTTACATATTCAGAAACAACATTAAAATCTCTTAAAAGTTGTAATCTCCAAATTAGAATATAATTAAAAATTGACACCCTAATTAAGTAAATAAAATGAAACTGTTTGACCAAGAAAAGTCAAATTTGCAAATCAATTCGGAACGCAGGTAGTACTTGTTTTACTTTGGGATTCTAAAATAGAAACATTATCTTACGTTTTTATTCTCGAAATATGGGTAATTATATATTGAAATGCTTGCAAAATACGACCAATTGTTGAAGTACACTACCAAGATATGATAGTAAAATTTCAAGATGACACTAAGTTACTCGTATTTAGGGAATAAAAATATAGATTTCCTGTATTGAAATATCACATTGATTTTGTTCCTATTCGGAGAATTTTCTCTTCTTTTGATAGAACATAATACTCCGTAAATCATACGGAGTACTACGTATGTAGCATTTTGGGAAGATAAGCTTACTTTGTCCCACTTTAAGGATATTTTCTTTTGGACTAAAATTTGCTAGTCTGGTCTGATCTGGCCTGGTCTGGTCTGGTCTGAACTGGTCTGGTCCCTGTGTATTTTATAACTATGAAAGTCTGGTCTGATCTGGTCTGGTCTGATCTTGTCTGGTCTGATCTGGTGTGGTCTGGTCTGGTCTGGTCTGATCTGGTCTGGTCTGATCTGGTCTGGTCTGGTCTGGTCTGGTCTGGTCTGGTCTGTTCTGATCTGGTCTGGTCTGATCTGGTCTGCGACTGAAAACAGTCCAAAAGAAAACATCCTAAGACTTCGTTCATGTTTTACTCTCAGTTTGAACAAATTCGTTTAAGTTTATATTTCCCCCGTTCTATAAAACTTTCCCATATTTCCTTGATTGATTGTCTCAAAAACCTTTGTCAATTCCATTTTAAACAATAAATATGAGATTAAAGGCATTTCTCCCTCTTCAACATAAATGTGAACCCGCACACAAATTTTCTTTCATGGAGTATAAATAATTTTGTGTGCAAGTCAAATTTGAACAAATTTTGTGAGATTAATGTACTGTATTGATTTGATTGATCAATGGAGAAAACGATTTTTTAATTATCATATACTCCACATGTGTGATTTTTTTACATTTTAAACCTTGATAAAAGTTTTTTGTAGAAAAAATCATTTGCATATCAATTTCATATCGAAAAATAGCATTAGTCAAACTTGATCAACCAATTAAAGTTATTTGTGAGACTCACATATTTAATCAGTACACATGCATGCATGCATGATCTCATGCTTTCTACGTACGTGCAGTTACTCAATGATAGCATTTGTGACATCACTGTTGAAGGGATCGCACCACCACCCCTCCAGCTACGGCACGAGGCCGGACACGGCGGCCGGAAAAGTGTTCAACGCGTTCAATGCCATGGGGACAATCGCATTCGCATTTGCCGGGCACAGTGTGGCCCTGGAAATCCAGGCCACCATTCCTTCATCGCCGGAGGCTCCATCGAAAAAGCCGATGTGGAAGGGCGTCATTTGGGCTTATGTCATCGTCTTCATCTGCTACGTCTCCGTGGCGGCGTCGGGTTTCTGGGCGTTCGGAGATCTGGTGGAAGATGACATTCTTATCTCTCTTGAAAGGCCTTCATGGCTCATCGCAGTAGCTAATGTCATGGTCTTTATCCATGTGCTCGGAAGCTATCAGGTTCACCCACTTTGCCTATCTAATTAATCTAATTAAGTATTACATAGTACTTAATTAAATACTCCGTAATAATTAAAATATACAAATTTAGAAACTACGTTAAAATCTTTGTAAAGTTGTAAAATCCAAATTAAAATTTAATGAAGAATTGATATCCTAATTAAGATTATAAATGCTGCAATGGAACCCATTTGACTCAAAAAAATCAATTTTATGCAACTCAATTTGGGACGGAATGAGTACCTCTCTCCCACAATTAAATTCCCAATTTGACTTTTTGAGTAAGAGTTTAACAATTTTAATCATTAATTATTCAAAATTTATATTGCATTATCACACAAAATGAATTCCATACCGGATTTATGTATCAAGTTTTGGGTGTTCATTCTTTATGTTTTTTGTTTTTCCGAAAAGAGAAGAATTTTATTAATAAATGCATACGAAAGTACAAACGCTAATGAAAGATATCTCTAATGAGAGAGAAGCTAAAGAAAAGCCAAAAAATAATCTAAAGAGTCTTCATTTATTATAGGCCAGCCTTGATCTTTTTCTTGGATTAATCCAACAGTTCTCGATCCGATACTCCCGCTAGCTCAAAGCAATGATAATCCAATGGAAGAGCCCACCATTTCATGTTTTGATAAATCCAAACATCTCTATTTTCAAAAGCCCCTAGTTTGTTCAATGTCTGCTTCGCGAATTCCCTATTAAAGCCTCTATATCATTGTTGATCGAACAAAAACTTACTTTTGGCCTATTTTTTCTTTAATGCGAGCACTCCTATTTGGAAATAAAATTTGAAAGAACAATAAATAATTAAATTAAATTTGTACACGTATACTAATGTGTTTTTCAAAATTTTTAACTATAGTGGCTCCGCCACTGATTCCATATACTACAAATGTTATTGCAATATACTCCGTATATACATATTCGGATATTAATTTATTATAGATTTTATTTATAAGTATATATTGTGAGATAGTTAGAGTCAAACTTAAATGAGAATTTAATTGTGGGACACAATGAGTATATAATAAGGAGTATGTAATAAGATAATTGCACATGCCCCATTTTTCTCTCGTAAATTTTTACCATCTTTGTTTTTTTTGTTTGTCAAATTCTAATATAATAACCTAAATCATTATCCAAACTTTACGATCAAGAAAAGTCAATATGATCACCCATTTTTAAATGAAGATTGAATATAATATCAGGTAAAAAATCATGAATTTAAACAAAGTTTCACATTATGATCAATTAATAACCACGCAAATCGCATAGAAATTTGAGAAAATGTCCTAAATAGGACTAAAAGGACGATAACCTTCATAAATAGAGCTATCATTATGTTATTCCCTATATTTAGAACGAATTTACTCTTATTTTGGGAAGTTCTATTCTAATTTATTCTTTTAGTAAAACTAAATAAGTCTCATTTGAAAAATAAAACATAGTTCTACTTTTGAGCAAAAATAAAACTAAAGAAGTCTATTTTTGAACATAATGCGTAGGTTTTCGCTATGCCGGTATTCGACGCACTTGAAGCATATGTGGTGATAAATCTTGGATTCACTCCTTCGGCCTACATTCGCCTATTCGCACGGAGTGCTTACGTTGGTAAGTACAACCCTTCCTAATAAATCTTGGATTCACTCCTTCGGCCTACATTCGCCTATTAGGAAGTGTACAACCCTTCCTAATAAAATTTGGAGAGTGTTTGTGATTGCTTCAATTTTAAAAAACAGACTTTTAAAGTGATTTTGGAGAAAGTATTTATAGTAAAAGTTCGTTTGAAGGACGCGGTCCAGCCTAGCTGGTCGCCGACTCACTCTTCCATACGGGAGGTTTCGGGTTCGAAACTCAATGGAGTGAGTTTCAGCCTAAATTACTCCAGACTCCCCCAACCCCCTCCCCCAGACACCCCCTGGAGTAAAAAAAAGTAAAAGTTGATGGTGTTTGGTAAAATAAGTACTTTTTGTGTAAGAGAAAAAGTGAAAAACAATTTAAAACACTCTTATACCTGCTTCCAGCTTTTAGCTTTTAAGTAATTAATTTAAACAGAAGTTGTCATTTGAAAACACTATTTTCAGTTTTTTAAGTCAAAACCTGAAAAACGCTTTTTTTTAAGCAACTGTAAACACTCCTTTGATATGGGCATGGGCTTGAAATAAGTTTAATTAAAAACATGGTTAGCGTCAATAGAGAGCTTTTATTGCTTTGTTGTGATGTTTATGCTTTAATGTTTACAGCGTTTGTGGGGCTCGTAGCTGTTTGCGTTCCGTTCTTCGGTGGGCTGCTCGGTTTTTTTGGAGGCCTCGTTTTCTCGGCAACGTCCTACTTCGTAAGTCCTTTATTTTAGTCATGAGCTAAGACACCATTTTAGTCATGAACAATTATATTTTACCTTCATTCAAACTTATAATCAAGTTCTATTAAGTTAAATTATAAATTAGTTTGCACCCGGCTTTTTGATTAAAAAAATTTGACTGTGCACCTCATTTAGAATTTTCTCTTCACAAAATGTTATACGAAAGGTGCAAAATCAAAGTTTTTTGAAAGTGGAGTGCAAGTTCCAATATCCCCAAAAAGTAGAATGCAAAGTCAAAATTTTCCTTAATTTAACTTCGTTTAAATTTGGTAAACGCGCATCAATGAAAATAGGTTTTCAAAAATATAAATTTGAATGAAATAGTTTGTCTCAACAAATAAAAAATACATAAAAGGGAAATAATGTTCTCAAAATGTTTTACTCTGATGTGTAGTTTTTGGTGGTATTTTTTTGTTCGTTCAAATGTAGCTCAAGCTCAATAGAGCGGAGTTTTTTTTGTCCGAGAAATCTCAAGAAAATAAAGATGATTTATAAAAATATGACTAGTTACTAGAGTAGTAATGAAATCATAGTAATTCATGTTCAAATTCTGAACTTAAATTACCACAACACTATGTTGTAGTAATGAACAGTCATATTTATGTAAATACGTTTTATTTTAATAATATTCTTATAAAAACCGCATATTTTTTAAGATACGAAGTACTTCTTACATATTTTGATGAAATATACACACTACATACATATATATGCAGATGCCTTGCATCATATGGCTCATCATAAAGCGACCAAAAAAGTGGAGTTTTCATTGGCTTGCATCTTGGGTGAGTCCTCATCTTCTTCCTATTCTTTTATGCATTGTATGTTATGTTTATATTAAAAAAATCAAGTACATATTGTTTGAAGGTACGTTAAATGAATCTAAAATAATCATATCCGTGTTTGGTGAATCCAATCGTTGAACTAATCACCGGTCCATGAGTCCTATAAATTTAAGTAAAAACGTTTGAGAATTCCAAAATATGTTTGCCAATTTTTATTCTGAAGTAATTACCGTCAAGTTTATAAAATACTATCACATCATGCTTAAAATTTAGTACGACCAAAACATGCAGTAAATCCCAATGATTATTTCTATTGAGAAAATAATAACATGACAATTCTATTTTATTTAGTCATATTTAAAACACTTTCCAACTTAACTCAGCTTGATCCGAGCCTACCTTTCGATACTCTCAATTAATCAATTACGTTAGGCACTCTTGTATGTATATAATTGATTGCACATGATTACGATGCAGTTCATTATTAAAAAAAAAATCAATTACGTTAGGCCTAGCCACTTGATGAACCCAGCTCCTTAATTACGGAGTATGAGTTATAGGGAATTACAAACTTATAGTCTAATTAGTGCACTGTTCAAATCGCAGGTCTCGATAATTGTTGGAGTCTTGATTGCTGTGCTTTCACCAATAGGGGGAGCAAGAGAGATTGTGCTTCAAGCAAAAACCTACAAATTATTCTCATAAATATATACTTCGTCTATAAGCTAAGTGCCGCTCGATCTAGCTAGCTAAGGCTATCTTTTTTTTAGGAACGGAAATTGTTTCTGGATTTGTGTTCATGTTTTTAAAATTTCTACTGACTAAATTAGCTAGTCATGAGCACTATGCTAAGGAATGGCTAGTACTCTCCGAGTATTATGATCATGGAGAGGTTATTGTTGAACATTGTTATATATGTTGGTGATAGATGACGGATTAATGGATAATAGATGCTTAGAAATTTTACCATCCACTATTCGAGAGAGGTACGAATTTGTGAATTTAAAGTTAATTAACTCATGGTAATATTTATTGGAAAATATTCAATTTGAGTGTCTTTGGACCATTTATCTAAAAACATTATAATTGTGAATATGGGTTAGTATCCCTAATTTGTGTCAATCTTTTTATGCATAAAGGCTTGTACATTCATTCTAAAATATAGTACTAAATTTTTCTAATAGACTAAAATGCCATTACACCGTTAGAAATTAACTTGACTAGCTAACTTACGTTCAAATAACATAACACTACGTTACAACCTATATTAGTACCTTTACTAGTGCATTAACTTCAAATACACTACAAATAAGCACATTTTTATTACGTTAAGTTCAAATAACAATAAAAAATAGTACTAGTACATTACTATCATTATTAGTTCATAAATTTGGAGTCAATTTTAGAATCTTTCAAATAATTTAAGTACAAATAATAGAATATATTCTATATCATTTACAGAAAAAAATTAATAAATATGAAAATATATTGATTAATATCACATGTTTGTATGAATCATTGATGAAAATTATTGATTATTGGGCATTAGCTTTCGCGCATTGCGCGTAAAAATAGCTAGTATAATTATATATATATTAAGACATTTATGTCTGATCATTAAGTTTGTCATATTACAAATTTGGTTTTTGTATATATTCATATATAGTTACCATATGATGTATATTTTTTAATATTAAATACGGAGTATTACATTAGCGACCAAATTGGTTTCTCTTTGACTCAAAACTTTAGTGTATATTTCTGTTCTCGTTTCACGACTAAGAGGAAGAGATGCTTCTCTTCCTAACTGTCTCAAGAACACCAATATATATTAAGAGACTCGAGGGAGACCTATCAATCCAACGAAAATATAATGATTGTATCCTCAGAGAATCTGTAACACCGTCGCCAAGTATATTTACTTTTATGTAAATTATGTGTTGAACATTGAGAAATGGTGAATGAATTTACGAGTTTGTAAATTTTTATTATTTCTGTAATGTGAATAGTAAATTGCACGTGGGACCCACACCAGGAGCGGAGACCACCCGATATATATATATATATATATGGTGGTGGATATGCTAGTTGGGTTATGTAAAAGGCATACCATTGACCGGTTGGTCAAACAGGTCCCATATACCAGTATCGACATTCCAACAGATTACAACCTGTAACAAATTACGAAAACTTCTAAATTAAAGTTGGAGAATGAATATTCATTCTAAAGGCCCATATTGATTGGGAACATGAGATATATTTTATTTGATTTAATAAAATAAAATATAATTAAAACAGTCCGAAAAATATATTTTCGAGCAGAATGTACACTTTGGGGCTTAAATGGATGACCTCCCACATGTGGGGGCCACCCCGTGAGTTAACAGGGAAATACGTACTGAAACAATTAAAATGCTGATGAATGGATAAAAGCTAATCATTATAAGTAGTAATGTAAATTGTATCTATTATATAAAAAAATTCACTCCATACAAATCATAGGAGTATTAACCAACTCATCTTAGAGAATAATCCAAAGAACAAACAGACTACCACGTCACTATCTTCAACGACAACAAAAAGGTTACCAAAAAAACACATACTAATATCTGTTAATGATTTATCTGACAAATTTCAAGGTGTTTACGTTTCCTTTAAAACTGATTTTTGTAAATGCCAACTCACCTAAACCAAAGTAACTTGTTACTCTTACTATGTAATTAAGAGGTCTGACCTTTTATGACCTTTAAAACATAACAAAAAAGAATGCATATAGTAAATACCAACAAATTTTTAGGAGAAAACCACTTAGTTGCCACTCCAGTCATTAATTCATTACCGTAGGTTTCCAGTAAATAACTTTTTATTTGTAAAATAATAAGTATGAATGAAGGTATACGTATTTTAACAGGGGATATACTGAAACAGGCAAAATGCTGATGAAGGGATTCAATTCTTTTTAATCAAGCTGATTTAACTGACAGACCTGTGCAGAAGAGCAAGAGGCGAATGACAAATTGTGCGTTTCAGGAGAAGAGCCAATTTATTGATTCTCCAATCAAGAATGCTTGTTGTACCCACTCTTATACCCACCTTATACACACCATGTTTGTGAAATGTTTTTTCTTGTCTGTGAACCCGATTCACAGACAATATTTTGTTTGTGCAAAATATTGTCTGTGAACGGGGATTCATAGACAAAAAAACACTTCACAAATATAGATGAGTACAAAAGTGGGATCACTTAAAAGCTAAAAGCTGGAAGCAGATGGAAGAGTGTTTTAAACTGCTTTTTACGTTTTCTATTGCACAAAAAGCATTTATTTTACCAATCACTACCAACTTTTACTTTTTCACAATCACCTTTTTCTCAAACACTATCAACTTTTACTATCAAGTACTTTCTCTAAAATCACTTTAAAAAATCACTTTTTAAGTAGAAGCAATCACAAACACTCCCTAAAAGTGGCATTAAGAGTTGGATGTAACTTTCATATAGTACTATTTGGTCATAAAATTGAGATCATTTTTCATTTCTAAACATGGAGCATCTTTATTTTTTACCTTTTATTGCATAGTTTGACATGTTTATGTTTCGATTATTACCTACCAATTGACGTGAGAATCTTTTATAGATTTCATTCAACTGATCTTCTAGGAAAAACTGTTTACTAAAAGTCTAAAGCATGCAACCTTTCTTTATTCAATAACACTTATTTTGAATCAATCTAATGAAAAATAAATTGATCGCTACCAATCACTTTATGCAGCCGGCCTATTGTCGCCACTAACACCTTCATTAAATCAGAATGTCACAAAGTTATATATTTTAAACTCTTTTCTCAAAGAATGAGATAGAAGGACTAATTTGCCCGATTCTAAATCCTAGAAGGACTAATATCTTAAAAATGACCACATCTATTATTAAATAAATAAATTATAACAATGTGGAGTTATTAGTTTTAAAAAAACAACATAACAAGCCACAGATAAAATCTAAGGGATATAAATAGGCATTGAGCAATTCTTTTTTTTATTTAAATAAAGATGCTTGAAAAGACGAAATTCATTTGGATGCAATCGAGAGTTATAAGGAAAATATATTTAGATAGGGAAATATAGCCTAAGAACATATTTAGATATTTAGTTAAAAAATAAAACATTCTTAATTAATATGAATATGCATAATCAACCAATGTTAAATCAACTACATAAGTGGCTTTTCGTTAGTTAAAATTACTCATACATATGCAATGCACATACACACACATACGGTAAAACTAAAACAACACCATTTTATCCCGTGCACGTGCACAAGTAAAGTTTAGTGCGCTATTTTGCTTTATTTCATCATATTCCCAAGCCTAAAAATAGTGAGTCTTTGGTTTCATTGGAGATGATGAAAAGTAGAATTGAAAGTGGAATATATGAGAAATCCTTTATAAGCACTCCCAAATCATTTCAATAAAATCGATCTTGTAAAGAATTTTCTAATAACTCTCAAATCATTTCCAAAAATGTCAAAAAGATTGAAACATCATAAAATGAAGTGGAAAAAATTAAAAAAGCAAGATTGTATGTGTTAAAATTTGCTAAAACACAATTGTCTTAATGTATCTCAAATTTATGTTCACCTTTCTATCGGAATCAAAATTTTTTAATATGATGTATGAGAGCAAAAGTTGTCTTTTATTTTAGTGTAAATATTAACATAATCATGATCTATTTTGATTGAGAGTTTCAGCACTCTGAAAGTTAAATAATTACATACTAAATATATCAATCATATCATGACACTAAAAGTTATGTTTTTAAGAACTAGATATATATATAAGTTAGACTATGTATAAGGGGTAATTCAATAACTCATAAATGTAACTTTAATATAGTAATATTTGGTCATGAAAATTGAGATACTTTAATATAGTAACATTTGGTTATGAAAATTGAGGTACTTTAAAACAATAATATTTGTTCATGAAAATTGAGATACTTAAATATTGTAATATTTGGTCATGAAAATTGCCATCATTTTTCATTTTTGAATATGGGATATTTGTTAATTTAGTTTTCGTTGCATAGTTTGACATGTTCATGTTTCGATTATTAGTCATCATTTTATATGAGAATCTTTTTACAGCTGTAATTCACCTCACCTTCTGATAAAAATTGCCTATTGAAAGTCAAAACCATGCAACCTTTCTTCGTCTAAATTGAATTTACTTTACTTAATATTTAACAATATCATAATATCAGTCCTCAATAACTCAATTTGATGAATTTCAACCGAATCAAATCATAGAAGGGCTAATATCTTCAAAAAAGTTGAACACATCCATTATTTAATAAATTACAAAAATGTGTAGTAAGTTTTGAAAAAACGGGAAGATAGAAATGAAATCTAATGGATAAAAATAGACATTGAGCAATTTTTTTTGTTTACGTAAAGACGATTAAAAAGACTAATTTCATTTGGATGCAAATGAAAATTATTAAAAAAAATGGATTTTTTAATTAGAAAATGTAGACTGAGAACATATTTAGGTAATTTGTTCAAAGATAAAATATACTCAATAAATGATAATATGAAGTATCAATCAATTTTATAATAGACTAAATAAGTAATTTTTC